TTGGGGAGGCGGTGAGCAGGAAGCCATCGAAGAGGCTGCTGCAGAAGTCCTCTAGGGCAAACTCCTCGGCCAGCAGGGCCAGGTTCCCCGTGAGCAGGTGCAGGAAGATGTCGCCGAAGGCCAGGTCGCTGAAGGTCTCCACTGCAGGCACAGCAGGGTCAGCCCGCCCTCGCCCACCTTGCTGGGCTGACAAGGGGCACCCCCCTTGGCAGGGGCACCCTCGGCCTGGGGTCCCAGTACAGTGGACTGTCCACTGTCACACACCCAGCCCTGAGCCAGCGAGGCCATGGGCCCGCCTGCCCGTGGGAAGCCGATGCTCCCAGAAGCCCCTTCTTCCTGACGCAGCCTGAGCTTGCTCAGGGTGACTGGAAGGGGTCCACTCAGACCACGGTTTCTTCTTCCCGCTCGCACCCCACCCCCCCATCCTCCCAGGGACGCGGCCTCCTCACTTTCGGGGGCTCCCTGATGTCGGGGACCTGATGGCGCCTCCCACCACCTGGAAAGGACTCTGACAGCAGGTGATACGGACAGAGGGTCTGAGAGCAGAGCTCCTCGCTTTTTACCACAACTTCCAGGAGACGTGCACTTGGGGGGAAGCCAGCTGGCTGCGGGGGGTAGGGGGGCAGTCAGCGACTCCTGCGCTCACCGAGCCCGGGCAGCAGGCGGAGGAGCGCGTTCTTGTTCCTCTGCTTGGTGATGTGCAGCACGTAGTAGAGCCCCACCTCGCAGGCCATGCGCTGCTCCTGCAGGAACCTGGTGGGAGCACCTGCCTGAGGAGCACCGCCCCAAGGAGCGCCCTACACCAGCCCCCAGGCCCGGCCCCAGCCCCAGGGGTACCTGGTGAAGCTCTCGGGAAGGGCGCTCGGGTAGGCGGCCGGGGCCCTCTCCTCTGCTGGGAGCTTCTGGTCCACGTTGAAGGCGTAGTCGTCCACCACGAAGGACATGAGCGTCGGCAGGAACTTGGTGATGAGCTCCACCTCCTGGGGGACCGGGAGCTCAGCGGGGCACAGCCCCGCCCACACCTCCATCCTGGGCTCCTTGAAGACCTGGCTGTCGATCATGTCCCAGGCCCCCTGGCCCAGCGCCAGGAGCCTGAGCAGCAGCAGCAGATCAGGGCTGTCCTGCGGAGAACGGGCCTCAGTGCTGACCCCGGCGCCTCCCTCTCCCCCGCCTCCCTCGTCGCTCAGTGGGGTGCTGGCCGTCCTGGTCCCCTCACACACGCCCTGCCCGTCCCCGAAGGCCGCCTGTGGCCAGCACAGCATACTCACCCTGGGCAGCGTCTCCTGGCCGACCAGCTCCTGCAGGTGCCGGACGGTGCTCAGGGACAGCGTGCTGATGGCGAAGGGGTCACACAGGATCATGGACAGGTCCCTGCAAGGAGCAGCATTCGTGGAAGCTGCAGGTCCAGGGAGGGCAGCCACGGGTGGGCGGGCTGCCTCCCTCCTGCCCGGGAGACGGCCCTCCACGTGGAGGGAGCCCACCCCTCTGCTCTCCTTCCCCAAAGGCTCACAGTTTGAAGCCTGTCTCTGACTTAGAACACTGAGGAGTTAGAAAGTTCTCAAGGAAATTAGCCATGTTGGTTCTGGGGGCCTGACCCTGACTCCGCCTTTCAGCCGCGTCCCAGAGACATCCCAGGGTGGCCCACACCTCCCAGCACGCGGCAGGCCCACAGCTGCAGACAGCCCGCCCGGGGCCCGGCCCAAAGTCGTGTCTCCACCGTGGGACGGGGTGCCCGGGCCCCCCGGACACGCTGGAACCTCCACCACCGTGGACAGAGCGTGCGCATCTGGACACTGGACAGGACCCACAGGGCCAGCCCTCACCCCAGGACTTGCTCCTGACCCTTCTTCACGCCGTCGAGAAACCCCTGCAGCTCCCGCGCCCGCTTGCTGTCCACAAAGCGCTCCCGGATGCAGGCGTCCAGGCACCAGGTGAACTGCGGGCAGCAGGTCAGAGCGTGAGGAGGGCCTGCTCGCCCTCGGCTCTCGCTCCCAGGCCTTGGAGGGTCAGGGCCCCGCATCACCTCGCCAAGACCCGGCTGAGGGCCAGGACCTGTCCCAGGAGCAGGACGCAGAGGCAACCAGGACTGGGTCCCGCCCACCTGCCCGGGTGTGGGAGACGATGTCTGAGTTTGTTCTAAAGGCCCCCCTCCGGAGGCCCCACTGTGGGCCTCTAAGTGACACCGTCTCGGCTGCCCAGCACCCGAGGGGCGGAGGGCGGTGCAGAGCCCGGGTCCCAGAGCAGCCCGAGGCCCGAGAGGGGAGGCCCAGGCCCGGAAAGCCTGAGGCTGCAGAGGCCTCCAGGGGGGCGCCCACAGCACCGGGGGAGTGAGGGGGTGA